CAGGAGTTGAGTCTGCGATATGATTATGTGTTATGTTACACACTAAATATAGGTATAACATGAAACATGGTCAAAAAGGTACATTTTGCCTTTAAGGAGGCGGTCCTGGAAGTTAGGTTTACAATATTAACCCTGTCTGTGCTGTGCTGGCAGATCTCCTTATCAGTTGTAAACTAAATGTACACACTGTCTCTACTAACAAAGGGTTACAGAGCTCACGTCTTGGGTGGTACATTGTATATTAGTGCACTTTCCCTTGCCTTGTCCCTCTAACTGCACTTTGAAATTGTTCAGAATAGCTTGCAGCTCTATGTATAAATCTGCTCCAATGAAACAAGAAAGGCAAATATTATGGAAAGTAGAGTTAAACACTGGCAGTCTCCACATTTATCTTCTGATCGGTTTCCTTTGAGCATACAGCAAAGACAGCCCTTGCTAAAGACTTGTGTATTGAGTCAGTCAGCAAAATGCACCATCTGAGATGTAAAGTCACTCTCACTACATCACTTACAACTGTTCCGATTTACCCAGGGCATATTGTAATGTCTTATGTTCTGAACTATTTTGCCCTACCCCCGTCCTCAATTAAATTATTACACTTGACACACTAGGCTTATGGGTCTTGGCTGCCACCTGGTTCAGCACTTTAGCAAATCTGGCGCTTTAGAAGCTTCAAGTAACCCCCAAATGTGAGAATAGTTCATCAAAAGTGATCCTCTGGCATGTCACTGAGTGTCATTGCATTAAATTCATAATTCTACAATCTCAACATTTGGGACCCAGCAAGTTCCTGTGGCATTTCACTATTCTTACCCGCATATTCCTGTGGAAGCATTGGCTTACTGAGAACTTTCTGAAAGGCTGCAATCCAGTCAGCGCGGTCAGTATCCGATTCACAAGCAAAAAGGAACTTCCTGTCCGGAGTTGTTATGGTGATTCCGTACTGCCAGTGATTCCCTTGTATGGCGGCTGGAAGTCCCTCTTCTACTCTATATTTGTTTTCTGTGCTCCCGATAAACACTTCTCCTCTAGCGAAGGCGTCCTACCACAGGAAGGTGATAAGTTACTTATTTCACTATGGACCAGGAACACAAATACAATGTCAGCAAAGGCACAAAGGATATAAGACAGCAAACTGCTGTGTGGGCCTGCAAGGTGCTAACCTTCCCCCACCCCTTCTCCCGTTACAGCCCCGAGAACTGGATGTGACTCCTCTTCCTAGACATATACATGCTTTATATCTATTTTTAAACTATTTATATAAGATCTACATTCACAAACATTTAATACAAGGTATACCCATGCCACAGGATTCCAAGAGTAGCAAGAGCACCACAGATGTGGTTTGCCTTCATACTCTCGGTCTCCAATAAAAAGTCTTATGGAGGAGTCCTTTAAATACAGTAGGATAGGGAAGGGGTGACTCATTGCTCTGAATTCACCAGTTCGGTGTAAATTGAAGCATGAACTACTGAGCTTTATAAACAAACATTTCTCAGCAAAGCAGCTAAGACCAGCCTGGAAAACATGAAAAGGAGAATAGTGCTCCACTAGCTTGCTGCAATGAGAATACAAAAGACCTGTTATTTATATTTGCACATCTAAAATATTATATGTTTTAGTCCTGACTGCTATAAAGACACATATGCAACACCACTTTACATCCCCTTCAAATACAATGTTGTGAGAATAAAATTCATGTAAAAGAAGAACTTCCTGTACAAACCAAATCACACCATGAGATAGCAGCCCCCATCATCCCGCTGTGCCAGATGCATCTCTTACCAAAGGATCTTTAAAGTACATTAATCTTCTGTCATCCAAGGTGAACCATCTCTTCTTAAAGCCTTCTGTATGCTGAAGACAGACACAACATATCAGAGACAAGCTGCGAGTGATAGATTCTAATTAGCAGAGACGTATGGGGTGTGCAGTGCTGAGCAGAAAGAGGCACCAAAGGGTGTTTCCCTGGCACTGATCACAGACGGAGAACAACAAGCACTGTCATATCTGGCCACCTGTCAATATATTCCTCAGCCACCACTGTCATGTGAAAGTGAACCTGTCATGAATTCTTTTATTACAGGTACTTATATAGCGCTGATAATTTACGCAGCACAATCACATCAGTCAATCTAATGTCCCCATCTAACATGCAACACAGACAGGAGCCAATTAACCTTCCAAAATGTCTACGGTGTGTGAAGAAACCGGAGTACCCGGAGGAAACCCATCCAAGCCCAGGGAGAACATACAAACTCCTTGCTGACTGTGTCCAGACTGGGATTCAAACCACGGACCCCCAGGACTGCAATCAGAAGTGCTAACCACTACGCCACTGTGCTGAAGTATGGGCACTGCCACTGCTGTCCTACTTCTGAAAATGCTAGTTGCTTGGCTGTTATGGTTCCTGGCTGCAATGCTTTGAATAACTGAGCAGATTTACACTACAACCAATCAGCTTCTCTGTCTCATTTTCAAATCTTACCTGAGCAAACTGAAGAGAGATGCTACTTCAGATTCTGTCTGCTCCAGTTTTGATAAATTCCCCCCATAGTCTGTAGGAAGTATAAGGGGTGTATTTATAAAACATTTGCAGAGCCATTTGTTCTGCAAAAATCTTTTACATTTACATTATGACCAGTAGATGGCGATGAGGAGCACAGGACATTTCTGGTAGTCCATCCAGTGGTCACAATGCTCTGTGAATGTAAAAGTCCGATTTTTACTGAACATTTATAAATGAACATTTTATAAATACACCCCATAATGTACTCATCCTAAAAGTTCCCAGAGTTCTCAGTGCTCGGAGTGACTGGGCGTATCAGCAAAACTGTATTTTTTATCATTATTGCAAATGAGATGTTAAAGTCTTTAAGACCTTGTCATTGAATGTATCCCCAAACAAACTACTCCTCTTTGGCAGCATTGTTGCTTAGCTAAAGATAATTATACATTCTGTGCTGTTTGGATGTGTTTAGTGATTTACACAGCTTTTCATTCCAAAACCTTATTTTTCTTTCTCATTAGCCCAAAGCTTTACTAAATCCTGGATTGAAAGATCAAAGGGCCGCTCCAGGTTATTATTATTATTATACAGGATTTATATAGTGCCAACAGTATGCGCAGCGATTTACAATATAAGGAAGACATTACAATCACAATACAATTCAAGACAAGATGGTAAGGAGCGCCCTGCCCCTGAGAGCTTACAATCTTAAGTGCAGGAACCCAGAGAAACCACTCTGCAATTTATATTGACATGACTGCAGTAAACTTTCTGGAATACATCCGAATTGACTTTTTTCCATGTCTTACCTTTGGTCCCGTTTTTTCCATGAACCCCTCTTTCATAAAGTTCCGTGTCAGCTTTGGCACCAACTGAAAGAAAAAGTAACCTAACTCAGAGTTGTAGAGAAAACATGAATTCATGCTGATAATATCGACCTTGGTTGACACGCTGCAGTGTGATCTTAAGGAGAACTATGGAGTAAGTGTTGTTCCCCATAGTTCTCCTAAGGGTAACGGGAGGAAACAAACTAGCGTCCTCCCGTTACCCTAAGCTCAGTATACCACGAGCTACAGCTGTCTGGATCCACCCAGCTGTGTGAGTGACAGCTGGCTCTGCCTATCTAGACGCAGAGCCAGCTGTACCCGCCCCCTCCCCCC